TCTCCTTAAGGAGCGACCACTCTTCTTGGACACCTGGCTCCCCTCCCCTCCGGGACCTCAGTGCTTCCCTGACTATTCTCCTTAGCTCACTGAAGTCCACTCTCCTGAAATCTAGGGCTGCTGCCTTGCTGTAGGCCTTTGCCACCTTGTGCTGGATGGTGAATTCTAGCAGGCAATGATCGCTGTCGCCCAGGTGGTCAAGCACCTGCAGCCCCCTCACCAGGTCATCCCCAGTGGCCAGCACCAGGTCCAACAAGGCATCTCCCCAGAGATCCTGGTTTTCTCTGTTTAAAAATCACAACATTACTATATATATAGATATAAGTTCAACACAATGTTTTATTGATATATTTACAATTTTAAAGCCATCTCAGGCTTCCCATTGCAAGGCTGGTCAGTTCACACAGATCCCTTCCAATGTCTTTTATACTTGAATGCAATTAAGGGTTACCCTTAGTGAGTTAGCAGAATGCACTTAACACACCTTAGGAGGACTTAGATACTCTACAGAGGGGGGCATATTCAGACTAGAACAGCTGGCTTAAAAAAATGTTACGATTTTAACTCGTATCTTCTTCTTCCCTGCACTACTGATAACTTTTCAGTATCATTCTTGACCCTGAATTCTCCATTCCTTACAACCCTACCCACGTGGGTGCACAGACTTTTAACAGTACTTCAGTTCCACATCTCAAACTCCTCTGTGCCTTACTTTCACTCCTCCCACTCCAGTGTGTACAGAATTCTACTTTTTGCTTGTTACCCATACAAAAAATTGTGCCCGCAGAAGATTCATTCTTAAATAACTCTGCTGGTTGCCCATTCATTTTGGGATTTAGTTTAGTATTCTATGGTATGTTTTATAAAGGCCTAATATGCACTTTGCTAAAGCTGACCTCTTGTGCATCTCTTCATCATTTACTCTCCTTTCTTTTTCATAGGTCATAGCTGTTCCCCCTGGCTCATGCCTCTTAATTTTTCTCTCTCCCTGTTAGTGGGTCTTCTGACAAGATTTATTTATTTACCATTCACCATTCTTGCTAGCAATATACCACCATAATATCTTGTATTAGTTAATGCTGTGAATCATTTACAGGTACAGTTTGATATCCCAATAGAATAACAAACAAAGCACGTGCAGACACACACACACACACAAAATAAATTTGTACCCTTTTGAAATTTACTACTAAAAACTAGAATGAAATGCTCTTTTAAGAATAATACATTGGAAGAAATGCTGCACTGTTCTTCTGTAGCCATTTATTAAGTTTGGGGTTTCCTTTTGTATGGGATGCAAAACTATGTAGCTATTTTAACTGTGAAATAGTACAATCTTTGGCTACACACCAATTAATATGTACTCAAACAACAACCCTGCATGAAGACAAAATGCAAAGGATAATGTATTTTACCACAAAATCTTTCAAATGACTAATGAACAGACTGGAAGAAGGCTGAAATAGAATATTACCATAATAACTGTTTTAAGAAGTCTATATTTTACATAGATTTAATGTACAAACTATAGCAAAAGCCACTCTAAGTTTAAAAAAAGTGGCAACTCTTATTAAGCATAACTAGTCAAAATCACAGTTGCCATTAAATTGTGTAGTGATAACACTGTACTATAGGCAGCAGTAAGTTAAAGTTACTGTACTTTCTTCTTTCTGGCATGATCTAGTGGTATGATCCAGAAAGAAGAAAATACATTAATATTAACTTGGCATGCTACCTTTTATTGGACCAACCGTATGGTTGTGACAGAGACAGACATGCTTTCAAATGTAAGACATTGTTCACTGAAAGCTTGTTTAACTCTATCCCAACTATACAGTTGGTACAATAAAAAAATATCACCCTAAAAAATCTTTGCCTCTTATACAATTTCTGGACCATCACAGTTATAACACTGCTCTTACACTGAAAGTCACAATACAGGGCATGAAAATAAGTTGAGGTATTTTGGAAAGTATCTTCCATAACAAAGCACCGTGAGATGCCTGCCAAAAGCTGAAGGACTTTAGTTTTTAAATCTCCTCAGGAAGATGTGCACTAAGTAAACAACATAGAAATAATTTTATTTAGCTCAATAGAAACTGGTCCTGCATTTACACATGCCAGAATCTGAACCAGTTGCATTAAGAAATATATGTATGTTGAACCTGAATATTTGCTTTGTAAGCCCTTTCCCTCAGCCCCACGTTAATTTCTGAAGGAAGTGTTCAAGTCTTGTTTCAAGTAACGTCACAAACCCCACAACAGAAATCTCTAGCCAATAGGAAAAATCTTTAAAATTTGTCTAATATAATGGTAAAATGCCATATCCAGATTGAAGTGAAGTTTTATGGGAAAATATGCATAGCATTTGCCTTCTCTAGAACAGATCTGACCTAGTGCTGAGAGGCTCTCACCTTCATGAGATTTGTATGACTTATAAAATGCCTACTTAGAAAAAGGAACTATCAAAATGAAGCATTAAACTAGACAAAAAGGGAAATAAATGTATTTTAAAACTGTAGTAAGAGTAAAATTGAGTTGTTTTCTCAGCTTTTTCCAAGCGTGAATATCATAGCCTCTACAGATACATCCTTGGCCAATTTTGCTGGGCTTTAGCCGTCATTCCAGTTAATACTAAACCCTCAATACTTACACATATTTCTTTTTGGACTTTTTCAATTTCTAACCAAAATATCAAACTTTATTTTTATTATCACTTTGGCTAGGGACAGAAGTTACACATAAACAGGTTTAAGTGAGCAGAAACTGGTATAAGCCTGTAACAGAACATAAGTTCAGTGCACATAAGCCAGTTGCAAAATGGCTGAAACCAGTTTAAGACAAAGCTGGCTGAATGCAGTATAAGACTTAACTGATTGAGGTCCAACCAGTTTAGGAAACTTTGCTTCCCAGACCCCTTCCTGGTTTAAGTTAAACCAGAGTCCCCCAGCATGCTCTGCAGCCCTGGGCTGGGCTACACCATCTGCTCCAGTGGAGGACTGGCCCCAACCCTCTGCTCTCTAGCCGGAGCAGGGGCGGGGTCATGGCCAGATGCTGGTCCCCGCTAAGGCGAAGGGAGCAGGGAAGAGGTTTATTCCCCACTCCCTTGCACGTCCCACCAACGTGGACCCCAGCCAGCATCTGCCAGCCCCTGCTAGGCTTTTCTCTACTCGCTGCTCCAGAGGCAGGGGCATGGCCAGACCAGTGTGAAGCAAATGGAGGTGGGGGTTTAATTCCCCCTCCATCTGCTGTCCCAGTGGCATGGACCCCAGCTGGGGTCTGCTGGCTGAGGCGCAGCAGCCTGTGTCAGGATCTCGCAGGGGCAGGGGCACAGCCAGGCACTGGCTGGCATGGCCCCCTGAGGTGAAGCGGATGGGAAAGGGGGTTTATTCCCTGCCTCTCCTTTCCCCCCTGGGACTCCAGCCAGGGTCTGCCTGCCCAAGACAGAGCAGCCACTATCAGGCATTTCCCTCTCTTTTGCCACTGAAGCAGTGGGGAGCATGGCCAGCCCCAGCAGCAGCCTCAAGTGAACTGGCCAGGGAGGGGGTTTAATTCTCTTCTCCATGTCCCACTGGCACGGACCCAAGCCAGGGTCAGCCTGATGCTCCCCTCTTGCTGCTTTATCAGCAGGGGCGGGAGGATGGCCAGCCGGAATGGCCCCGAGGCAAAAGAAGCAGGGAGAGGGTTTATTCCCCACCCCCTCAGGACCGCAGCCAGGGTCTGGTAGCTCCAACCACCACCTCTGCCGATTGCCCCCTGCATGGGGTGAATGACAGAATAAGCTCCCTCCCTGCGCCCTTTGCCAGATGCCAGAGGAAGGGGGAAATAAACCCTTCCCTGCCCCCTTCGCCTAAGGGGGCCATGCTGGCTGGCTTCGAGCCATGCCCCCACCCCTGCAACTGAAGCAACAAGAGGAAGGGACCCTGACGGGGCAGCAGCCCCTGTAATGGCTTCCTGGTTCAGGGGGCTGCGCTATGGGTGGGAGTGGGAATGGGGCAGGCTAAGCTGACACGGACTACATGGGGCAAGTGGCAGCACCGGGGCTCAGAGGGTCCCAAGCCCTCCCTGGTGCATTGCCACCACTCACCCTGCCTCTGGAGCTGTGAGGGTGGGAAATACCTGGCAGGGGCTGCTTTCCCGTTACCCCTCCAGGCACACCCTGGCTAAGGTCCCTGCAGGCCATAGTTTAAACCCCTCCCCAGTCATATTCAGGCAAGCCCGGACCTGGCCATGACCCCCACCCCCACCTGTGCACAGCTTCCCTGTAGCCATGGTCTCTCTCTAGCACCCCCCAGCTTCTAGCCTTCGCCACTGCAGGCATGTGCCTGCATTTCCGGAATCAAAAGCAACCGTCTATTCACCTGCAAATAGATTCAAACTATGCAGGTTAGACTAAACTGCAAAGACTAGACTGAATCAATTTAGGCCCAGGCTTTTTGAATGTCTGTACTTAGTCCCTAACAGAAAAATTCCAGAATGAAAAGATCTTTAAAATCCCAGCACTATGCCCTCTTGTATTTTCCCTAGCAGATTTAGTGAAGTAGTATAAGAAAGTCCCCTGGTAGGCAATTTGAATAAATGCCCATTGTCTTGGTTAGAGTAAACTGCAAGAGAAATTGTCTTCTAGTCCAAAAAATTTACATTATAAAGCAGTATCTTACAGATGAATCGCAAAGGCAGCACACCTGGTAGCCCAAACTAGCACCTGAATATAAGATTATTTGAGATAATCTTTTTAGTCTTTTGACTATTTACTAATCAGCTAATTAACTAATTAATGAGAAGACACTGATAGTCTTGCTTTTCTCAATAAAAAAAATCAGTTTTCCCATGTTAATTAGTTATTTGATTTAAGTAGGTTCTGAGGGAGGAAAAAACTTTATGTAAATGCAAGCAAAATAGGGATTTCACTTTGAATGCCATGTTCTGCTGCCACTCTTCAGCCTCTCTTTCCCTGTACTCACTCTAGGTAAATTAGAGATAATGAGGATCACTCCTACCTTAATATTGCAGGCCTGTTCCATCAGTCGTCTGGCGTTTTCTTCTGCCCTGTATCTCTTGGGCAATTGAACTCTGAAGAATTTTAAAGCCCCTTCAAAATCAGCTTGTAAAAGGTCTTCCTTTGAGGTCTACAATAAAACACAGAGAACTACTTTAAACACAGAGAACATTTCCACTTGCACTATTAGTGGATTTATCATCTGTTGAATTTATTCCAAACAGCCAGTATTCACATTAACTCAAAACCATTCTCTAGGAAAACAGCTCTCTAACCTGTATCTCAAAAGATGAAATAGAAGTCGGAGCACGTCCAAAGAAATCCCAAGCAAAGCACTGTGATAAGAGGACTTTAACAAGCTGATGTACTTATCCTTCTATACCTGGAGGCTGAGAAAGGAAATCTGGCAAAGCCTGTCAAAATGGAATTCAGTGAAAGTGAAAAAAACCTAGAAGAACCATGGTATTTTTTAGATGGTTTGTGTTTCTTGACTGTTGCTGATTTTTGCTCTACTAGGAAGACACTATATATGACTGCACACATGATTACCAGAAGTGAAAGGGTTTCCAAGTTATAATAAGAACCAGCTAGTCACAGTTCATATACTGCACTGTGCCAGGAAAATAAACTTGTACCCTTTCTTCTACATGTTAATATAGTGCCTATCATTGTGGTATCAGGCCATAACTATAGCTAACACTTTAAGAGAGGAAGAGATAAAGATTCAATGGAAATCTACTATGGCTGCTGATAACAGACTGGAAAAAACACATTCTCAGATTTACTAAAGTCTACATTTCATGCCTTTCTAAAATGCAATACCAATCCTTTAGATATTTTGCTTAAGATATTCTGGATGTGAGTGTTCAGACAAAGTTTTTAAGCTGCAATCCCTGAACTTGAGTTTCAATAATATTTGACAAATAATGGTTAATAAAAAAAAACTACAGAAATATTATGAGAACTAATAACTGCTTCCATTATTTACACTTCAGTAAGAACATAAGTACAGTTTGGTAAGGTTAAGTGCTGCACTTGAAGGAATGCAAGGATCTATAGTCAAAACTGAGGATGTCAGTTAGTGTACAAACTGTGCCACCAGAACGCTAGCAATATTGCTTATTACTGACCTGTATTTAATTTCCCATGTTGGAAGAGGTCATTATTAAAGTCATTAATCAGGAATAAAGGGGACAATTAATTTCTTGGGTCTAACGATTTCCTTAGTCAGGATTTAAGCCAAATGAAGAGACAAAACGATACTGAATATGCTGATTAATTATCCCTCTCCTCAAGGCAGCAGATGATTAAATGATACACTTGTTCTTCTGGATCTGTTTGTAGACTTTGTGTTACCACTGATCACAAGGTGTGACTAAAGTAGATAGAGTTGTTTGAGTGGCTTGGCTCCTTTTTGTGTGCAACTGCAGAGGTTAGTTCTGCGCAGGCATTAGTCTGCCTCCAAAACACTCACAATTCTGAAGAGATCTACTTGGTTGCCTTTCTGTTTACCGCAGAAGAGACCACTGGGAGCATTAGAGGAGGGACATGAGAAAAGCTGTTTTCAGGATGTTGATGACACTCTGCTCTATAAACTATTACATCTGATTCTGTCCACAAAAAAATTGGCAGGAGAGCTATCTGGCTGAGACTCAGTCAGACAAGACTGAAGTAATGTTGATAGAATGATGCTGCACTAAGGTGTCTTGTGGATCTAGGGCTGCTCACAGATGCTACTTCGGCCAACATTTTTGTTTTCTTTTCAGCTGCACTTGCAACTGTTTAATTTAGATGTAGGCTCTACTACAGCTAATCTGCATTTCTGTCACTTAAGACCAGTTGACTGGAGTGTATGCCACACTGGGCAAAATTATGGGACTATCTGAACATTACAGAATGTGGTGGTCAGTGTATTAAGCAGCCAATTATGCAGACAGCACGGGGCATCAATATGCCAAAATCTGCCCTGGCTACCTGTCAGCTTCTGGGTAGAGTTCAAAGTGTTAATGTTCATCAAAAAGCCGTAGATGGTTTGGAAACTGGCTATTTTCTCCCTGTGTGCAATATTCACGCAGCTGCGATCAGTGGAGGCATTTGAACTGGAGATCGCTGTTGCACTGCAAAGCCACCTTTTCTGAGAAAAATCCCACTGTAAATGATGCTCACAGTTCAAATGCTCCTTTTGCTCTCAACATCCCCACCAGATAACCTACCCCAAGCAGAAGTCTGTTCTCAGGAAAGAGAGAGCCTCTGGTTTATGCTGTTGATTTTATGTGGAATGTGCTCATCAGGGGCAGATGCAAAAGCAGGGTGCATTGGTGAGGTTGCCCCCCACCCCCAATGCTGTGGAAGCAGCAGCTGGGGACTTTTTAAAGTCCCCAAATCAGTTAAGAATCCCCCCATCCCTTCCCCTCCCTGCTCAGCAGCACATCCTCTTCCCATCCCTCACCGCCACTGTCCCTGCTGTCTCTGGCTGCCCCTGCGGCATGGGAGTTCCAAAGCCTCTCCTTCCCAACTCCAGACAGGCTGCACGGGGAGCAGGCTTGGCCTGGAACACTGGCAGCAGGCAGGTTCCCCCTCCCTGCCTGGTCCCTGGGTGCTCCCTGCCAGTCCAGGAGCAGGCTCAGGGAAGAGGAACTCACCATGCCCCTGCTGCTGCTGCCATTGTCCCCAGATTAGCTTAGTTCCCTTGGTAGCCCAGTAGGAGCAGAACAGAAGCAGCCCCAATGCTCCCTGTCACCCCTAGAGCAGCTGGAGACAGTAGCAGTGGCAGGTGGAGGAGGACACAGGATGAGGCAAATGTGATGAGAGGAGGACAAATGCACTATAGGTGTGCGTCTACATGAGATGCTAAATGAGCAGTAGACTAATTCTACCGCACATTAGCACAGCAGGCAGAAACAGTGTTAATGTGCAGTAGAATTAGTCTACTGTGCATTAGCATTACCTTAAAAATGTGTGCTGGCATTACTGAGCTGTAGCGCCAATTACGGTTCATTAAGTTAGTACCTGTTCTTACATGTACTAAACTTTGTGCGCCATAATTACAGCACGTTAATGAACATGTAGACATGCCCACTGCATATGGAGAAGGGAGGGGGAACTAATAGTGGCGGGTAACTTCTTACCTGAATCAGGGACTTAAAAAAAGACCCTGTTTTTTGTTCCAACAGCATAGTCTGCCCATCCTGTGGAGGGGACGGGGGGAGAGGAGGAGAGTTGAGTGGAACAGCTGCAGCTACCCCTGCAGCACCAGTTCCTGCATCCCCCTTTATAAAATCCTGGATCTGCCTATGATGCTTAGATATTATAGTGATGGGTAATATAATAAAACTCTAAGGGCTGGTTGACATAGCAAACTTATTGTACCTGGTATCATCCCCTTTGAGCATGCCATGCAGCTATGCTCAGGCTACCTCCTAACTGAAAGTAGTATTAGCTCAGAGGTTCCCAATCTTTTTCTTATTGCGTACTTCCTTCCAGATTTATCAGCTGCCCATGTACACCTACCAGCACACATTTTATATTTTAACCCCTTAAATGCCAATTATTATTATAATGCAAAATTAAGTCTGCCATTACGTAATTTCTTCTGCGTACCTCACAGAGATACCTTGCGTACCCCAGGGATATATGTACCACATTTTGGGAACCTCTGGTATAGTTGCATCTATGCAGCAATTCAGGGTGAATGACTACCCTGTGCTAACCTACCCATGGCATTACACATAAGTTGGTACAGTACTTTCGTTCCAGAAGAGGGCAGTGTGGTGGAGGTTACCATTGTCAGGCATTGTTTGTCTACAGTGTAGACATAGCCTAACACAGGTAGGTAGGAGGTTTACATGGAAGGGGTTTACTGGACGGGTGTTTTCAAATACTATTTCTGGAAGGAAAAATATATCTACCCTGCACAATGCAGTGCCATGCAGCAGTAAAGCTGAGTTAGTGTGGAAGTCCATCATATGAAGTAGGAAATATTTGATCTCACAGAGTGTCAAACGAATGTAACTACACTACCTTTGGTGTCCAAGTTAGCTCATATACAGTTCTACACAGCACTGCATTGTGTAGTGAAGATATACCCAAAGTTAATCCCAGAGTCTGGATTTCTTAGCCTTCTGGATAACCAACATCCTCCATTTTTTGCCGTGTTTTCAATAAGGAGGCAAACCAAGTAGAGGTGCACCGATGTATTGGTCCATATCGTACTGGCACTGATAAAAGGAAATTGACATTACTGGCAATCGGCTTTTTTTGGCCAGTGTAGCTGATAATGTCACCAATAAATGCTGCATGCATGCACACAGCCATAGCATGTAGGCAGCCAGAAATGCAGCCTGACAGCTTGGAGAGCAGCCTCCTGCCAGTAAGTTGAGGGGGTGGAAGGAATGTGGGGGGAGAAGGGGTTTGGGGGGCAGACTGAGGCCCCCACAGTGAGGAAGGGAATGGGGCTGGGGCAGGGGAAGGTGCTGCCCAGTTGAAGCAGGGCATGGGACAGAGCTGCAGGTGGCTTGTCCAGAGGGTTTTGGGGTCGCTGCTGCATGCACCCTTGGGAGGCATGGGGGGCACGTGCCTACCATATTTGTGCACGGGGCAAGGGGAGGCTACCCGCTGTGGGCTCAGGGACAGGAGCTACACTGGCCTCTTTCTGGCAGGGGGCTTGGCCGGGGCTGTGCTCAGGGTGGGGTGGGCAGTGGCACTGGGGG